TATATATATATATATATGTATATGCGTGTGTGAATTATTGGTTCGTGGTGCTAGTGAATTATAATAATATATCCATACCATGTAAATGTATTTGTTATAAAAATTACAGAATCGTTTCGACGTTTTACAGTGCCGTGGAACGATCGTGTAATATATTATACAAGGTTCATAAGTAAATTATACCACCGGTATCATAGGAACAATACTTTATCTATGTATAACAAAGGGAAAAAAAATGTGGGTGAAAAAAAGAAACGAAAGGGACAAGATGAAATAACGTACAGTTTGCTAAACCAACTTCTATTTATGTACATATTGAAAGAAAGAAAGAAAGAAAGAAAGAACGATGATCCGCGAAAAGAGGAAAAATCCATGTGAAACGCATACATATATAGAAATACACATATTTTTTAGGGTTGTTTACATGATCAGCCTTAAGATTTGATTGAAAGGGAAAAAAAAAGGAAGCAGAGGAAAAGAAAATGCAATGTGTATACAACATATATGGATATATATACATATATCAGGGCAGATTGCTATATACTGTGTTACGATTACCTACAATAACGATTGAATGTGAACAACTATCTTGCCATACCAAATGTTAGAAAGCACATTCATATATATATATATAAATAAATAACAAACTGGAACGTTTGAATAAGAAACGAAACAGAAAGGAAAAAGGCAGGGAAAAGTAGTAGTAAATGTGCTGTGGGAAAAGCCAGGAACGATAATGATGATTGGATAGAGAAGGGGGGCTACTCAGAAGTTTGCGCATAACATTTTTGTAGTAAAATTGCACGAAGCCTACGTACGTACACCTAAGCTAATCAGTCGTAATCATCTTTTTATTATTAGAAGTTTTAATTTTATATATATTAAAAATGGGAGGGAAAAAAAAGAAGATGTAATTCTGAAGTATTTAATAGTCATGGTTAGCAGAGTTATATAAATAATGCCTGTGATAATAGTATCGTCAGGATAAGTTGTGTCCTTACAGAGTCTCTGATGTTGTTGCTAGGTAAATATAAAATTAGAGAGGTACCAAGACGAGATATGCTGTTCGCCCATGAGAAAACGCCTTGTGGGAAAGGTGTGTTTATGTTTGATGCACAATAACACCCGACACAACGCCATCGATGGTCTCTAAAAACAAACAAACAAAATAATGGGTACGTTCAGTACACGACGAGAAGATAGGAGAGATAAGAGAAAGAAAAAAAAGAAACGATATTGAGTAAAGGAAGAAATGGAGGGAAAAAAAACACGTAGAAATAAAAGAGAATATGTTGCAAAAGTTTTGCCAGTCGTATTTAAAGAATAAAAGAAAAACTAAAACTCATAGTGTAACGAATGGATGACCATTAATGAAGAGGGTCTTTTACCTCACAAAATTATTATATTACGCTCACCTTATATATACTTGAATATTTTAGTATAGATTTACTCTATTTACATATTTTTATCTGTGGAAGACTACTTGGCTAATTTAGGCCACTGTTGAAATTCACCCCTTATTTGCCTTGATGTTTAAATTACAATAATAATATAAAAGGATTTAAAAAAAAAAATGATGACGAAAGATATGAAAGAGGAAGATGAAACGAGAATTACTTGTTACGTAAATGGTAATTGTGATAGATTTTTTGATGATTTTTACAATCTCAAAAGTCTTATTATCCTAATATGTATAGAATTATAATAGTCACTCTCTACATAAAAAAAAAACTACATAAACGAAAACTCTGCTTACATCGTTGAAACTAATTATTGAACGACAACAAAATGGAAAAAAAAGGATTATATATATATTATATCACCCATAATTGTAAGCAGTCTACGAGTGATGGAAGATTATAATACTAATCATTCTATTGTATAACGTATTTCGGAATATGTTTTACGCATTACTTTTTTAACTGATACCGATGTTTTTATCGCTGATACACAGTTTCCAAGGCCTTTTTCTAGGTGCCACCTAAACAACTACTTTCAAACACGATTTCAGTTTTTCTGATCGTTCTTTGTGTTCGTTTTACGAATGACGTGCTATATGTGTGCAGCTTTAAAACAAACACAGAAAAAAACAAAGAAAAATACCAAAAAAAAAAGACAACAACAAAGAAACAAGTAAATGTCCATTCTCGCGATTCGAATCCAGGATTCCTCTATGGCTCTGTAACCATCGAACAAATCCAAGATCTTCTGATCTGCAACGCCACAGAGGAGTCTTCCAGGTTCTAAACAATTGTTCTTAATATTAGACGGTGTTATTTCTCTGTATAACCAAGCGTTTAATCTTTGAAAAGTTATTTCCAGGATCTGTAATAGGTTCGCTGACTTCAGGATCACTGGGCATCGGATGTTCATGTAGAGACAGGGCTCCAATTCAAAATATAAGAGGAGTTTTCATCAATTCTAAGTTAGGTACATCCACGAGCAAATTCTGCAATACCACTTGGTAAATTGATTTCAGGTACTGAAATAAATGTTAAATCGGATGTTAGTTTGGCATAAATTTCAGTAATTCCCAATTTCAAGTGGTAGGAGCATGGTAGAAGTTTTCTATGTCACTTGTTCCATTAGTGGAAGCCGAGTTTGCTTGTGGTTGTACCTTTTTCATTGCATCTACACATTGAAATGTAAAATAAATACATGAAATCCACAGCCCAGGATCACTGACTGCCATATTTGATCTATAAGGGGTGACGCTTGGTTCAAGGACATATAACCCTATCTATTTTTGGGAATTCAAAGATAAGATCACAACGCTGTTTGAAAGATCCAAGGACCGCGATAATACGTGAGGTAATCATGTGCATTAACGGTATCCGTTAATTTGCTGCAGCCATCAGGCTACGTCGTTAAGGAGATCAGCGACCTGTCTCTGTCGGCCGTAAAAGACAATGAAGGACAGAAAAATTGTGTCGCGTAGGCGTCTATAGACCAGAATATGCAACGCGGAAAATTTAGTGGGGAAAATGGCAATACAGAGTGATCCACAGAAAGGTTCGGATAATTTAAGGTTATACAGAACTCCATTTATGCAAGAAAAGTCCTATCATCGGTAGATCTTTAAATTAATCTTGGAATAGATAGGTCGATATGAAGTGGAACGTTTATTCTGAATGGTATTTTATCGTATGCTTTCTTCTAAAAGATGTAAATGCAATCTTAACGGACAATATAGTGTTTATGACTCCATCAGAATTAATTTGAAAGTCTAAGTTGATAGGGGTAATTCTTAGCTGGTTTTACCGAGTACTCTATGCCTGTTAATTATCCGACATTTCTTCACAGATCACTCTGTGTACAAATGTATGTTCCTGATTTCGAAAATCGCATCACGTTAGATGATACAATAAAAAATAAGTTAGCTCTTGGGCGGTTTTCTTTCGGATATCAACGGGAGCATCTACGCATTACAATTATATATATATGTATACAGATAATATATATATACATACACATGCATTAAACGATAGGATTTAAAAGAAACGGACGAGAACAAAAATATACATACAAGGGACACTAATACACGAGACGCAACATTAAACTGAATTCTAGCCTACGGTTAATCATAGTCTTCCTAGAATCCTGGATAAAAGAAAAGGAAAGAAGTGTATGTCTTTTGTGATTAATGATTTTATTAGATCACGACCTCCCGCAGGAAGCCGTGTAAATTGCTACAGGGTGATCCATTAAAAAACAAGCCAACTTTTTTTTTCTTATCGCTCGACTTCTCAAGCGTGGACTACTCC